TGAAAACCTTTGGACTGGTGGCCCCCCTCCCTTTGCTCGCAGGTAAGGAAGACTCCACCTGCACTGGCTTCCGAGCTCCACCAGTCGCATGCGGTATTGGCGCCGAGACAGACACAGAGATTAACGAAACAGAGTCCGGAGATGGGCCTGAACACACACAGGCAGACGGGCTTCCACAAAGGCGCCAAGGATGGGAGTTTATCGATGACTTTGAATTTGTAATCTTCAGACTTGAAGAACGTTTCTGTGCAGGATCAAGTTCCGATTAAATGCCCCTGCTGTCACACCAAGGTTCCTCCGCACATAGACTGAGACTGCTGGCTGACTGAGTGACGGAGGAGAACCGGAAGAGCCTCTGAACAATCATCAGGATTCTTTGTTACTTGCACTCAGTCCTGAGCTGCCAGAGCCATGGCCACTGCTACTGTTCTCTCTTTTTGGCTCATTCTAACCAGAGCTATAGAAGGGGGTCTTTAAAAAGTTCAAGGGAAAGGTGTATGATAGAAAAAAGCATGCATGGATTTCAAAAAGTTTTTGCATTGAAATAAATGGGTACTTTAATTCCTCTTTTCCATGAAAAAAAAAAAAAGATGTCTAAAGGTCCTTGTTACCAAGTTAAGAGTATGGTGAACTCATTCCAAAGATTATTGTTTATAAATCTCTGAAAGGCTTGTACCTCAGGTATGGACGAGGAATAGAATTTCCTAGCAGGAGTTTACCCTCCTCAAGGTAGAGGACCATTTCTTTTCACATATGTTAAGTGCTATATGTCACACTTTTGGACCCACTCAGACAAAGCCAATGGTCTCCATGCTCATGTGCTACTGACCTGGCCTGCTCAGACCCTCTCTGTTAATATCCTACTGCAATAAAGCAAGTCCCCTGGAGTACCGTCTCTAGGAGAAAATGAAAAAAAAAAAAAAAAAAAAAAAAACTCTATGGCAAGTACGACACTTAAGAAATATTCCAGGATTGGGGCAGCAGATGGTGTGGTGGTTAAGGTGTCGGATCCCACATGGTCAACTCAGCGGTTCAAATACCAGACCCAGCAGCTTGAAAATCACGTCAGGAGACCAGTAGATGGTGTAGTGGTGACATCAGGGGACTCCCACATGGCCGACAGCAGTTCAAGTCCCAGACCCAGTGGTTTAAAACTCACACAGGCCTGTGTACATGTGTGTGTGTGCTCAAGATCCTGTGAAGAGAATGGAGAGAAGGGATTGTGGCATGACCCTCCCCCATGGGGAGCGATT